ACTGTATTACAAATTGAAATGATACAAAAAAGATAGAAAACTTGTATAAGAATAAATGAAAATATTTAAAATGATGGAGTCAGAATATTCTAATCTTACTTAATTGTACTGTGAGTACACAAAAATTCAGATTTTCCTTCTTATCTGACTTACGGAGGCATAAAACCTTCTGAATTCAACCATTTGCTGAATGAAATAGAATTAGAATAAAAAGTTAAAAAAGCAAACCAGTTTTTCCTTTGAGAGAGTCTATTTTTTATTACAACTTATTTATTCCCAAATGCATTTCTCCAGTACACCGGCCTCCTAATTTAGCAAATAGTTTAGAGTTCAGAAGGTTTTATGCCTCTAAGTCAGATAAGAAGGAAAATCTGAATTTTCATGTACTCACTTACAGTACAATTAAGTAAGAATAGAAAAACTTGTTTTTATTATTTTTTATGAACTAACTCTGTTTCCTCTGTAAAGTTGTTAATTACTTCTTCATAAAATATCGCTTGTCATTAATTTCATCAAAGTATTTAAAAGCTCTTTTTTTATTGAAAGCAACGCTAGTGACAACAGTCTTTCCTTTGACTGAGTGTTCTTTGCGAATATTGCTTCATGATTGAAAAACTGCACTCATAGATGGTACTGTAAAAATTAATGGTATTAAATCATATAATTCTTTTAGTACATCTTTGTTCAGGTCGTCATTAATTATATTTTTTATGTCTAAGAGTGACTTGCCAATATAGTCTGGACATGAATATAAATATTGAAATTCACTATATAATTAAGGCAAATCAAAAAATTCTCCATACAATTTACTTAAAGAATTAACTCTCTTCAGAAAATTGTTTTTCATAATAATCAAAATTATTAACATCTAAAAGTGATAAAAATTTTAAAGATTTTGTCTGAAAATTTGTCAGTACAATTTTGTATCAATATATGCATTATTTCATGAAATGGACATTTATATAACACCTTTTTAGACCAATATGTGTTTTTTTTTTTTTTTTGTTGAATTTCTGAAAATTTATCTTTTTCCAAGTGTCCCACATCAAATCAAAATTTTTTTTTCTGTCGTAAAACATCAATAAATTGATTTATTCTAGTAATACAATATGCTATAATAAAATTCTTTTTTGTAATACAGTAGACCCCCCTATAACATGGTAGATATGTTCCGTGTTATATGAATGAGTCACTTAAATACATGAGCCAATCACAGCCCGACATGTGTGCAGTTTACGGACTACGGCTGTTTGAAAGGTTTTCTTCCATAAAATTAATCGATTCTAGACTAATTTGACTCAACATTTCCAAATCATGTATAATTTTTTGGGAATAATCCATATAAACTATGCTATAAACAAAAAATTGTAGGATTACTTACTGAGTGTGCACCATTTGACTAAGCCATTGCTTAAGCTTGTTTTCGTCGTGGAGCGGTGCATCGAATGGCGCTTGCGTGCTTCCTGATAAATTATTTTTCTGCAAAAACTTTGCTGAACTTTTGAGACATCATTAATATAAATATAATTTTTATCGACATTAAATAATAATTGGTTTTTAGTAGGTCCGCTGCTCGTTTAAACTCAACGGCTTGTGCAATATCCGCTGTTGGTCCAGATTCGACCAATCCTGTTGCGACATGAGTCAGCAATGACATTTTACCGTGTTATACGAGCCTCTTTTAGTATGTTATACGAACACAATCACAATTTTTTCGCCCTGTTATATGAATCTGTGTTATGGGGGTGTACTGTATATCAAATAGGATATCTGACTGTGCAAATATTTGTCGAAAAACTAGTACTAAAAAGTGGAAATCGAAATCTATTAAATAATGATATAATCCTCTTGCAGCAATTGTAGTATCAACCATATTCAACAACAAAAGTTTTAATTCTTGTTTATACTCCATAATGCAGTTTACAATCCTGCTATTGTAATTCCATCTAATGGGTGTGACTGAAGGAAAACGTTTTTTGACTTCTAGGTCTAAGGCATGAAAGCTTTTAGATTTAGAGAAAACTAGGTTTAATCTATGAGTATAACAATGTACAAAAATAGCATGTTTGGATATTTCTTTAATTTTGGCTTGGACATCATTATGTTGTCTGGCCATTAGGCAGCACTGTTGTATGCTTGTGCCAATAATTTTTTAGTGCATTGAAATTCATCTAAGTAACTCTTAATGTGAGTGAGTAATGAATTTGCATCTTTATTCTCACTCATATCAGTAACGCTCACAAATCTTTCTTCAGTGTTATCGTTTTCTTTCATGTATCGAAATACAGTTGACATCTGAGTTCTGTGGCTGATGTTGTTTGTTTTATTTACAATTATAGCAACAAAGTTTGCATTTTCAATTTCCTTTTTAATTTCTTGCAATAAAACATTTCCTAACAACTTATGAAACAGAATTCAAAATGATCTCATTAAGCCAGTGAAAAGCATAGACCCCTCCCTAAACCAATTCCCTAAACATTTTTTAATTGATTATCTGACTGACTTAATAAATAAACAAGTTCAATATAATTTCCTCTGTTATCAGATTCAATAGATTCCTATGCCCTCTAAATGCCACTTCTTGCTTTAATAAAAAAACATATAACACATTAATTTAGATATATCTATTAGCCGTAACTATCTTGTTATAATTTTCAATATTTATTTATTTTATATTGTTTACTAATGTTAGTCTATTCTGCTTCAATTTCCAAATTGCTTCAATTTTATGAAAGAATTGATGTGACGTTTATTATTTTCCTGTCTTTTGTGAGCTTTACTTAAATTATTTAAATTATCAAAGCCATTCTTATTCTACACACTAATTTAATTTGAAAATACAGTAGATCCCCCTATAAAAGCGTTTCCTATAGTTATGATTCCTATAAAAATTGTGGCATTATCCGTAAACAACAGTAAAAATAACTCCTATAATACGTAAAACGTCATCGGGCAGCCGAACTACTTACCCGCCGTCCGTAGCGCCACGCTACGGAGAGATTTCTATCGTCTGGATAGTATTATATAAATTATATATAAATTAGGTACTGTATATATAATTATATATTAACTTAATTTATTGTAACTTTATTATAATTAAATATATATTTTTCGCCGTCTAGCGTCACGCTACGGCGAGTTAGGCGACCTATCGTCTGTTTAGTACTGTAATTTTATACATTTCTTGTGAAAGAAACATTTCTTATTTAACGGCCATAAAAATTATTTATATTAATGATGTCTCCAAAGGTCAACGAAGTTTTCGCAGAAAAATAACATCAGAAATCGCGGCCGCGGTTTGATGCGCTGTTCCGCGACGAAACCAAGCTTTAGCAACGGGCGTAGTCGAACGGTACACACTCGGTAAGCAATCCTACAATTTTTTGTTTATAACGTAGTTTATACGGATTATTTTCAAAAAAATATACGTATTTTGGAAATGTTGAGTCGAATTAGTCTAGAATCGATTAATTTTATGAAAGAAAACCTTTCAAACAGCCGTAGTCCGTAAACTATGATTCCTACAAAATTGATTCATAAAGAACGGAACGTATCTACCGTCTTATAGGGGGATCTACTGTAGTAGACATGGCCAACAAAAAAATTTTTGCATTTTTATGCATCCATAAAGCCATGTTATGTCTTCATAAATTTTCTCATGAAAATGTCAAACAAATTTTTTTGTTGACGTATTTATATTTAATTTAGGCATTAGTCTTTCTCTTTTAATAATGTTTTATTTTGCATTATATGATTTTGAGCCAAAACTTTTTATAAATAAATTTTCAATATCACAGTTACATTCTGAATCTCTAGCCATGATATAAGGGCTAAAGTTAAAAATAAAATTATAAAAATTTACTTGGTGAAATAAAATGTGCAGTGGATATTCATACCTAGTACAAAATATTCTTCAATTATATGAATATACTTTTAAAGAAAATTATAATTAAATATAATTTTGTAAAGAAACATACATAAAAATAACAAAATATTCTTTACTCTTTAAATCTTAAAACAGTTCACTTAGTCAAATAGCTCCCTATGAGTGGTTAATGGATAGAATCATTGGAAACATTATACGATATTTTGGTGTGTAGCATCCAAGAGGTAAACTGTATGAAGTTGTTGCTTTTTGAAGCTTATGTGCAAATGTGTATAATTTGGATGTTTTACATGATTAAAATATTTTCACTATGGAAGCTATCCTGTATTCGAAAATACAGTGCTTCCGTTGGGAATATGCATATACTAATTTATATTCGAATATACAATTGCAATCTTATAAATTTTTTTCACATGTAGTATAGAAATTCGTAATAAGATACATAATGCGGTTATAATAAAATGTTAATTTTAATTAATTCAAAGTATGTTAAAATATGAAAATAATCACACAAAGCAGCACTTTCACAGCTTCCATGGACTGCACACTACTGTCCTTGAGTAATGTATGTGTAATGAGTAATGTGTATGAGTAATGTATGTGTAATGGTGTCCTTTGTCATTTTTCCCAAAATCCCTATTCTAAGCTTGCTATTACTGAAGAAACATTAAATTTAGTTTACTGTATGTATATGTGATGGACAACTATTTATCTTTGAAATCTAAATTGATTAGTTGGTGTTTGTGTACATTCCATTTAATTTTGAATATGTTTCTTTTTTTGTTTTTTGAAAAATACAAATTACACTGAAAATTTTCAATATCAAGTAATATCAGCTCAAGAATTTTATGACTACTAAATTAGCCTATTGTGTACATTTTTCAAGATCAAGGAAATTTTCCTCTACTTCATTTTAAAAATTAATATTCTTTCCGGTCAAATAAAAAAAATGCAGGTTGTTATATCAGTTTAAAAATTTATAAATTGAATTTAATTGAAAAAAAGGAAATCTTAATTAGTAATATATTTTTTCTGTCTTAATAGTTAAACTTTTTTTTAATTATTAAATATGTCAATTAATACAATATATTTAATTAAATATTTTTATTTTCAGTATTCCCTAAAGATACTAGCATGAAAACATTTAATGAAAATGAAAGAAATCATCATAACCTTTTAATTTCAAACAATAAAACATATACTACCATAGAAATAACTCCAAAGAAATCTAATAATGAAGAAAAGTATAATAATCAGAGTCTCACAAATAAATTGGAAAGTTCTCAAAATTTATCAAGTATAAAGAATATTTTATTTGAATGTCCTACAAGTGAAAATAATGACATAAAGGAGGAACTTCGTAAGGTAAAAATTTGAATTTTCTGTTTTTTATGTAAAGAATGTGCTGTTATTTCATTGCACTTTTTCACTACTTTAGTCATTTAACTCTTGATAACAACACTCAATGTATGGATTGTCAATATTATCTTCGAAGCACTGATACTAATACAGGGTTTAAGTTGGGAAAAAATTTTGTAGCGTTTTAGCTAATTTTATTAAAAAAGTTGTAGCAAAATTTTAGAAACTTTAGCCGATGATATATCCTTACATCTGACAGCAACAAATTTTTTAAACAAATCCCACTCCATTAGAAATTGTGTTTTTAAAATTACAATATTAAGAATTAAGTATTTGTTTATTGGAAACTTTCATGTCTACAAGGCAGAGAATACGTGATGCCTGTCAAGTGGACTTTTTTTTCCCTTAATCGGAGTGACAAGAGATTGTACTCAGTCGATACAAACTGTCTCATTTTAGGAGAGATAGGGTGGCATTAGGGTTAACACACAGCAGGTATTGGGTTGGTTTGGTTGGCAATTGTAAATTAAGGCTGATAGTCAACAAAAATATTTAAGTGTCAGCAAAACAGTTTTAAATATAAACAAAATTATATTTTAATTGAAAAAATATTAGATAAAATTATTTTTAATATTTAGTATGTTTACTTATAATGATAAAACACTTGAAAACACCTTAAATACTTTTTTGGCAAATCTTTTTGTTAAACCTGACCTAGTCCTATGAAAAGGGTTGAAGACATTCTTTTATAGAAATCAAAGTGTTGCTGAATAAAATATTTAAGTTGTTGGATGTTCAAGCTAAATTAGTTTCAGCCTATATAGAAGTATTTTTTAATGATAATACGTCTTTCCCATTATAACTAACTAAAGTTTTTGATTCACAAGTGATGCTGTAATATGTTAAATTTTCGAATGCATTTTGCATGATTCTAAATAAAAATAATTGTTTGTGCTATATTTACTGCTGTTTTGAGTTTTAAGAATTGATTTTTCAGGATGAATCAGTCTAGGCATTTGTTTTGATTTTTTTTTCCTGAAATAAGTAAATGCAATTGTGCATTTAAGAAAACCTGGTTTGTGTGAATGAATTCAAAACTTGGTTAACTCATGAAGATGATGATATTCATTAGGTTCATTGCATTATTTGCCAAACCTCATTTAGTGTTAAATATGATGGAATTACATCATTTTCAGGCATGCTGATTGTAAGAAGCATTAAAAAAGAAGTGCATCTTTTCACTACCTTCCTTCTCCCCTGGTCATCATGGCCAACAAAATAGTTTTCAAAGATGGTAACCTTAGATCACATGATGAGATAGGTTTTTTTTTCTTTTTAGTCAAAGAAAGGAAATTAGCTGTAATTTGTTTGTAGTGTTGCAATATTAACTTTATATATATATATATATATATATAAATTACTTGTCCTAACTGACTGACTTATTCATCATTGCCCAGAGCAAACCGCTGAACCTAAACAGGTGAAATTTGGTACACAGTTAGGGTATGTCATGAAAATGCCCACTAAGAAGGGATTTTTCGAAATTCCCCCGCGGAGGAGAGCATTAAGGCTTAACCTGAAGAATGGCTTCTACTGTACTATTTTAGATGCAATTTTTTTTTGTTTTCAACTATGTTTAGTCTTCATTGAGAACTTAAGTGTATTAAATTGATAACATTTCAGACATTGTTATAAATATTTTTATATATTTTGATTTTTTTAACCAAATGTTCAAATTGTTTTAAATTCAAATTTGTTATTGCATATTGGTTATAGAATGGTTGAATAAGTTCCAGAAAATTGATCAAATTGAAAACAGTTCATTTGATTCTCAGCAATTCTCATCATTCTCAGCAGTATAATGATTACTATGGTTGTTGAAATACTGAATATAAATGGAGTTTGCTTGCAAAATCTGCATGAGTGAAGTTGCAGGTAACAGATAGTCTGCAATAAGATTACAAATTTATTTTCTACTACATAATAAAAGCATGCAAATCTGCATATAAATGGAGAATATTCAGGTTTCTTTCAAAAGAACAATTCTGAATTTCTTGATCACTTTCCATTCTTAAGCTTGATGTTTATTAATGAATTTATCATGCTCATAATGTAAATCATTAATTCTTCTAAATTAAAATAAAGTTTAGGGAGTATTCAAAAGAATCGGAATCAGGAGTTTTTGGCAGAATCAGAATTAGAAATTTTGGTATCATCCCATCACTATTTAAAACATCTTAAAAACTAATAATTTTAAGATGCTTTAACCACTTGGAAAATGTTAGTTTTTTAGTGAAATGTGCGAAGAAAGTTGTTGCTAAATCTAAATTCTTGTAGCATTTTAGCAAAAAAACTAGCAACAGCTTAAACCCTGTTAATAAGAATGTTCATTCTCTGAATGAATTTTACTAAAATTATTTTTTCATAAAAGTAATCATTTTATTGAAATTTTACAATTTCTACTTATAATTAATTTTTTCTTAATGTTGTAATAGGCATTTAAGAAAATTGATAGTCATACGTTATTTATAATAATTTTGTTGTTTAAACATTTATTATTTTAATTATTATTAAAATATTAATTTAATTATAATTATTAAATTTAGCAAGAGATAGCACTTAATGCCTTCCTCTAATGCCAAATTATTTAATTATTTAGTTCTGTTTACTTTCCTGCCTGTTATGTATATACATAACAAGGGAAAGTATTGGAATCACGTCAAATTTGACACACCGGATTTTTTGCAAATCTCTACATTATGAGACTTCCTAAAGCAAAAAAAATGGAAAAAATTTCCATGGATGTGTGTGCAAAAGTTAAGCTGTGGCTGCTACTTATTTATGAAAAGCTATTTAAGCTATATTTCAGTAAGCCTGTAATTTTAGTCTTAAGCATTACGCCAGCTAGTCTTCAAAGCAAAACTGAATTTTGTTGTCAGCAGAATTATTCACAAAGTTTACTGAAAAGTTTTAGTATGATTAATCCAATACACAGGATGTACGTGGCTACATCCTGTGTATGTGTATGTAAGTCTACTATGCTAAAATAATCGAAAAGGACATTTGGATATGGATGTAAATGAATTGTTTGCAAAGTCAAGTTTGTATCTGTATCCTCTTGAAGAATTTAATCTCTCTCATGCAGTAAAAATTCATTAAAGGATGTGGAACAAGTACATGAAAAGCTCCTTACAGATGTTCAGACACATTATATTGCAGACTGTAGGCATATCACACCAAAAGGACCATTATACTTTAGTTACTTAGGGCCATGAGATATCTACAGCAAGAACAGAGAAAAGTGCAGGAAGTGAGTATGATATCATCACCATTGCAAGAGCTCTTTCAATTGAATTGAAGACTGTTCTGATAGATGAATGGAAGCTCGTTCAACTGGAAGGATCAGATAGTGCTGGAACACATCATGTGGATGTATTCTATTCTAATAAAAGACAAGAGAGGCTATCTGCGATTTAGTGCAGACTTTACCCCTGTATGAATAGGAAGGAAGAGTAAAAGAAAGTAAGAGTTAGAGAGAAGAGGAAATAAAGGAAGATAGGAAAGCATGTGGATGTATTCTAGGATGAGATGTTCAGAAAGTGCACTGACATAAGATGATCATAGTTACTGCTTGTGCATCTGCCAAAGGTTATATTATACACGCAGCACTAACTTTGTGTCACATTAATGCTGATGTAGAGTACTAATTCTCTTTTTTTTGACATTTTACAAAAAATTTATTACTCTAGTGCAACGGTTCCTAACCTTTTTTCATTAGCGTTTCTCCGTGGCATTTCCAACTTCCCAATGAGCAATGCATGCACAAATCTCTTACTGCCTGTTTGTAGAGTGTCACCGTTTTAAATTTTATTTTGACTCGGTTCTCGGTCCCCTGAATACCTACAAGTCTGGTTTTTTTTATTCGCGCATGATTTGGGCACCTAATACTCTGTGCCAAATTGCATCTTCTGACGTGTGCTCCTTCATACCTCTAAGATGGTAACATAGCAGGCAGTATAGTTTTAAAAACAAGACAGTCTTGTCAATAAAAAATTAATAAAAATACTGAATAAATAATGAAAAAAATTACTGCTTGTAGAGAAAATCTGGAGAAACTAGCTATGTCTTTTTTCTTGCTAACATTAAAAAATACTTTTTATAAACAAAAAAATCAAACAATTTTCTCAAACAATATGTGGGGATATTGTTGAGAGATGATAATAATAACTGTAACACACCCCACCATCAAAGGCCATAGCATAATCATTAATCACACACAATGGTATCCCCACTACTATTGACTGACTGTGCAACATTTATTGATCTGTTGCATTGTACAATCGGCAGCATAAGTTTTTATTTCTATTTTTGCATTTTGAAATGTATAATAAAGTTTCTGATTGTTGCAAGGAACATTTTTTACCTAATAATTTTTTAATGCTATTAATTTGTGATACATAATATATTACAAATATAATCAAACACCAAAACACTTGCTGAGCCTACTATTAATTTAATACAGTAGAGCCTCAAACTCAGCACTCTGGATAACTCGGCCACACCCTTGCAGGGCAAAAAAATCCTTAGTTAATTAATTTTCATTATAGATAGCTTTATGCCTCATAAAGTATTTTTCTGAGGTCTGTCTTATCAAGTAAATTACTGTACACAGTGTATTCATTAATTTTCATTTTCATGTAGTAAAGGCTCTATGCCTTCATAAAGGACATACTTTTCCTTTGTTTAAGGGTATTTGGGCAGTTTATTCTCTGTTGTATTTTCAAGCAAACAATACATACAAGTACAGTACAATATTTTCTGAGGAAACACGCATACTTATCCTTTTTTAACCCCATTCCCGATAACCTGGCATTTTCACAAACTCGGCCACCCTTCAGTGCACATTAGGCTGAGTTTTCTAGGCTCTACTGTATTGTAGAACAGTAATTTCCTGAGGATGGCCTATTAAAAATAGGCTGAAAGCATTTGAATATTAAATTAATAGTAGGCTCAGCATAATATATTATTTTTTCTACCATAATAATTAACTTTTTTCTGTACCCCTAAACAACCTATCGTGTACCCCCGGTTGGGAATCGCTGCTCTAGTGCAAAGTGCATATGAGTGATTCCAAAGTTATCTTGAAGACTATAAAAGGACAATTGAAGAACAGGAGAAAAAATATGAAGTTGATAAGTTGAAGTAAGAATTAAGAGAGAAGCAAGAGTAAGTTTCAAAAAAAAGAAGAAATTGAAACCATGAAATTTTCATCACTTCAAGTGTAAAAGGATTATGAACAACTGTGATATACCCTATTTCAAGAAACAACAAAGTTGCTGCAAAAAGCCATAGCAAAAAAAAAAACAAGAGAGAAATCAAATTGGCAGAAGACATGCTTGAAGTGAAGAAGATTCAGGATAATGGAGATACAATCAAATAAGAAAGTAAACTGTATTCACAAAGCTCTTGGTAAAAGAAAATCTGATTTAATCAATTTAATCAAATTTCTTTCCAAGAAGCCTAAAACGTAAGCAACAGATGAAGTGTAGAAATTGAAAATGGTATATAACTACATCCATATATTTTGAACTAACTGGAGAGATAGATCACAAAAAATCACACCTTTAAAATCCAGCAATGAATTTAATAAAATAATGTTTTCGACCAGTTTCACTGACCTTCCATAACTAAAGGTCAATGAAACTGGTAAAAAATGTTGTTTTATTAAATTCAATTTAATTGCTGGATTTTTAAAGGTGTGATATATAATAAGAATTCAAACTGATAAGTTCTATAGATTTGTGATGGCAGAAAATCATTTGCTAGTTTGTACAAGACAAGACACAGAACAGTATTACTGTACAAGTTAGATATCTCTGTACAGATGTCTTGCCCTTTTTGTATTAACTCTGCAGATTGAATGTTTATTGAAAATTATAAAATTTGTTCATGAAAGAGATTGTGATAATTTGTGCAAATTGTGAAATAATAGAGTACTCTGACAGGCAACAAGCTTTTTATTTTGATAAACTGCAATTTCTTCTGATTTTCAATGGAGTGATGATGAAAAATAGTATCCAGTAAATAGTATACTACATAACAAAGAATACTCAAACAGGTTAATAGCCTTGTTTGAGTTTCCTTTGTTATAAATAAACCCTTATCTTATAGTCTGGTAGTACAGTGGAACCTCGGTATACGACCTTAATCCATTCCTGGTGTTTGGACTTATACTGAATAGGACGTATACCAAACCAACCTTTTCCATAAGAAGTAATGTAAAAATGATTAATCCGTTCTCATGTAAAAAAAATTGCTGGCTTTAAACACCTGGCTTTCCTCGCTAGTTTCTGCTTGATTTTTCATGAGATCAGCATGTATCCTTTTAACTTTCTCGCAAATAATTTCTTCCGATACGCTGTCGCCGGCACACTGTTTTTCAGTTATTCAAAGCAAAAGCAATTTCTCGACATGATCTAATGTCTTCGATCTCTGTTTAGAAATTGATTTAACCCCTTTCGCAACGTTAGCAAATTTAATAATGTCTTTATTTTTCACGATTGTCGATATCGTCGTTCTCGGAATACGGAATGCAACAGTTAAATCTCGTTAAATCTCGAACACGCGTGCCACCTTCATATTTCTCAACAATCTCTTTTTTCAGTTCCGTTGTGATTCTAGTCATTTTTTTATTTTTCTGTTGCCCTTTTGCAATTCATGATTAATAAAAATAATAAAATGTTACTTACAAATTAAAATCAGAAGAAATTTAACAAAGTTATAAACCGTAGCACCGCGAACGTCTAGTCTAGTGTAGTACACCGATAGTGCTACTTGTTCATAGATGGCGCGTATAATTGAATTAAGTTGTATACCGAACAAAAGTCGTATACCGAGCAAAATTTGTTTCGTCCAAACAGGACGTATTCTGAATTTGACGTATTCTAAAGCAGACGTATACCGAGGTTCCACTGTAATTGTTTTAGTCCAACAGGCCTAAAATGTAAATTGAGTGAGAAATTTGCCTAATATATTTCACTGTGTATTTTCTCTTGTAAGCATTACTTAAAAGGTATGTATTATAACTGGAATTTTATTGTTAAAAACACGTCATATCTTTTTACACCAGCAATTTATTTTTTGGAATTTAAGTAGTAATGTTTAATTAATATAAAGATACCTGAAAATGGGCATTAAATATATCTAAAAACGTTAACACAATGTAATAATTACTTTATAAATTTAATAAATTTCTAGTGTAGAAATGTGCGAAGTGTTTTTGAACATTAAAAATTAAACACACACATATATAAACATTAAATATTTTTTAAGGTATTGTCATGTCATCCTGATGGAATCTGGGCAACTGATTTTATGAAAAAATATGAAGTAAGTGAAAAGTATTTATTTCTTTGTTTTTTCAATTTTGTAAAATAATAAATAAATAAATCATTTGCTATCATTTGCAGAGGATTTGAACTTAAAATTAGAAATCATAAATTTTCTATTAGATAAATATATTATACTGCATAATATTGTGTGTAAAGAAACTTATAATTTAAAATAGAGAAATTAGATATATAATATATTGCTGTTCCAGAATAACAATGACACAAATGCTGAATTAATAATTTTTTTATTAAAATTTTATCAAAAAATTTTTAATGAATCAATCTCTTAGTTAATCTTAACTATTATTATGAAGATCTTTATTATAAAAAAGAACAAAGAATTGTTGTTGAACTTTAAAATGAACAACGATGAAACATGCAGTTTTAAGTTATTCATAAAATATGAAAAGTATTGCCACAATTAACTTTAAAGTAAGAAATAGAATAGAAGATTAAAATAAGAAGTATTTAATTGTTCAATTGTTGAAAAACTATCATTTCAGAATTAGAATTAATGCAACAATTTTCATTAAACAAATCTATGAAGTATTACTTTTTTCTTCCCTCATGCCATTTTCATTAATTAATTAATTTATTTATTTTTATACATTTACTTTTACAATGACGTTAGGATTTACATTTGTGAAAAAGAATACAGCCATACTCCATTATCCAAATCTAATGCATTTCTGAAGATAATTTAAATATCAGGGATTTGGATATGGACGTTTTTCATTATTTTTAATGCAAAAAAAATTTTAACTTATTTCCACTCCATCCAAATAATCCCAACCAATTTCTCCAAATGATGCAAAACACCTATTTACCTATCAATTCATATTAAGCACTACAAACTCCAATTATCTTATTAACAAATACTTAATGAGGTTGTTCAAGGACATGTTTGTAAGATATAATTCAATAAATAAGTTTGTACAGTTATACCTAGTAGGAATTATACACTGAGTGGCCAAAAAATTAGAGACACCCTCTAATAATGAGTTGGTCCACCTTTAGCTCTGATCACAGCCGATATTCTTCTTGGTATGGATTCAACAAGTTGCTGATACTATTGCTGAAGAAAGTTGGCCCACGCTAACATAATGGTAGCTCTAAGTTGGGTCAGATTGGATGGTGGTATTTCCAAGCTCTGAAGTGATCTTTTGACTTTGTCCCACAAATGCTCTGTAGGATTGAGGTCAGGGGACTGAGCTGGCCATGGAAGCAGGTTAAACTATGATTGATGTTCCTCAAACCAATTTGAGACCAATTGAGCACAGTGGCAAGCTGCATTATCCTGCTGAAAGTGACCATCTCCATCAGGGAACATTACAGTCATAAATAAGTGTATGTGATTGGCAATGATGTTGAGGTAAGCTGTTCTATTCAGAGATGTGTCCACAAATATCAAGGGACCTAGTGTACTCCAGGAAAACATTCCGCACACCATAATTCCACTGCCACCAGTCTGAAGAGTTGTCATTTGGCAGGAGGGGGTCCACGAATTTGTGCTGTTTGCACCATATTCTGATCACGCCATCTGCATGATGGAGCAGGAAATGAGATTCGTCAGACCAGGCTACTTTTTTCCAGTCCACAAGTGACAATTTCATCGTTCCTGGGCCCACAACGGGTGCCTTTTTCTGTGATACCAAAGGCACACTTGATGGTCTCCTGCTGTTTAGCAGCAGGATACCATCCTTTGCAAAGTGTGTTTTGTTGTGCATTGGGATATGCTTTGTGATGCATCTGCATTGAATTCAGATGTAATTTGTCGTGTTGTTGCCCTTCTGTTGCTGTGGACTATGCGTGCTAATCGCCTTTCACCTCATTCTCCAGCCTTTTTTAACCAGAATTGTCCTTATCGCTTGAAGTTTTTTTTTCTCAACTGCCACTCTCTAAACACTCGAGATACTGTTGGGCGAGAAAATCCTAAAAGAGTCGTCGTTTCAGAGATGCTGACACCAGCTCTTCTTGCACCGATGATCATTCCTCATTCAAAGTCATTTAAATCTTTTGTGTTATCCATTTTGACATTATCTTCTATGATAACTATGCTGTCTGAAGCTGAGCATACCTTATATAAACAACTCTGCATTGTTACGTCACTCTACATCACTATCAGACTGATTTACTTTCAGATAAGGAGTGTGTCTAATTTTTTGGCCACTCAGTGTATATTAACTGTCTTTCTTGAATACACAACAGACAGCAATGATAATGTACAGTATACTTTTATATTATACTATTACTGTATAAAAATAAAAACAATAATGAAAATAAGCAAACAAGATAATGAACTGTTAAGAGTAAGTTTAGTGATTTAAATCATTAAACTACACAACTATAGTAACACAGACACTAATGGAACAAATGAAAACAAATATTGAAAATTGGAGTCATTTCCTATTTCTTACTTTTACTAATATGACTTTCAAATTTCTCACAAGTGCACTATAAATAAATCCATGATACTGGAATTATTCAGTTCACATATCACACAGATAATAAAGAATATCATTAGTTACAGCAGGATATAATCATATTTCGTCCACTAGTACGTGTCTATTAACAGGACTTATTAAACTGGCTTTAAGGATACTGCAACTCAGTTTCACAGATTAGAAAATTGTTTTATTTTCTAATCTGTGAAACTGAGTTGCAGTATCCTTAAAGCCAGTTTAATAAGTCCTGTTAATAGACATGTACTAATGGACGAAATAAGATTATAATAAATTAAGGACATTGAGTCATATTAATCTAAGTTACAGCAGGAGTTTGGATACTGGATTATAGCCATAATTGTAAGATATTTATTTTTTCCAAAATTTTTTTATTCTTGCTTAAAGTTTTTTGTTGTTGTAACTGATTCTTTCTCTCTCAAAATGTTAGCAAATATTTTTAAAAAATTAAAAAGTTTGGAATCATCACTGAACAACTGGAACAAGTTAGTAAACAGCTTAAGTTGAACACTTTAAAGCAAAATTAATATACAGGATTGCCTAAAAGTCAGTTAACCAAGATATATTTTTAAGATCATTTTCAGAACAGTTATAACCAGTTTGGAGCAGTTTCATATTGTTTGCTATTTTTGCTTCCAATGATTCAACTGAATTAGTAGACAAGCAGTGATTTCAGGCTAATTTTAACTATTCTTGAAATATACTTTAGTTAATGGACATTTGGACCATCTTGTACAGTTACAAAATCTGATTTTGATCAAATTGCTTTAGAACTTATTAAATCTTATAATTATTATAATCTTATGTAACTGAACATGTTCATGCTGTATTGACATTAAAATCAGAAACCATTAAATTTTGTTTTATCTAACTAATAAATTACTATTTCAGGAAATTTTAAAAAAAGAATTAAACCTAACAGAAATGGGATATTCAAGCTTAATTGAGCTAGTTTCATGCTTTCCTGATATATTTTTTATCCATCAGCCTGAGTTATGTAAAGATAATTGGTTGTTATTGGATGTAAATAATTCTGCAGTAAAATCACTTAAAGAGGATACTAAAAAAGGTATGATAATTTTTTATTTCTATGTTGTTATGACAGATTTTTATGTTTATGTAAAGGATATTCAACTCAATCCAAGATTTAAACAAAATTTTATGATACTTTTAATGCATTTTCTTCATTGGTGTGAATTTTATTTGATATGCTTTTTTCTTACATTAATTAATAATTAAAACATCCTGAAGTGCTTATGAAAAGCTTATCAAGGAAAGTTTTCTAGAGAACTGTATATTTGCATACTGTTAAATAAACTGATATGGAGCAGTTTACTATTCTAAAGTCAGATTTTATCATGGTGAGGTGAATAATTTTTAGATGTATGTTATCCTGCATCAAAAGTGTTTCTTTTTGATTAAATGTGAAATATTGTCAGTGTATCATGTCTGTTTTGCAGAATTGCAGCAGTATCTGTTTATTGTTAAATATACAAAACGAGATCTTTGTATGAATGATACTTTTCATATCTCACAATAAACTGACTTTGTAACTGATTCTATTTCCTTTAATCATATTAGGATTGATCAAATGAAACCTGTTTGTGTTGTGTTACATGGTTTGGTACAGTGGGAGAGGAATGACATCACGTGGTGTGAAAAGCATACACCAATGAACAAGCGAGGAGAAGTTGAGTTGTCTCACATGTTTGTTTCTAATATAGAGTAGTGAAAACATGGCTGGAGTTATTCGGAATCTGTCCAAGGTCAAAACGTGGTACCACCACTTTGAGCCAACCGGTAGATGAGCAAGTGTGCTATGGAAACATGCCCAGCTTACCAACACACAAAAAAAATTAATTCCTTGGGGTTTTTTGTTCATCTCGGAATAGTGCTTGGAAAACCCCTAAGTAATTGATTTTTTTATATTAAATAATTATTTCCACTCAAATGCGAATCTGACAGCCAAAAAAATTGACGGAAAATAATTGCAACAAAATAAATATACCCCCAAAAAGTGTTTTTACAGAAAAACTATATAAAAATTAAAAATAATTTAAAATGAATGATTTTATTTGAAAAATATAGATACACTGTCAGCTTTCCCGGGTAGTTCTCATGTACGCCTCAGGGTAATATTGGTTTAAAGCAGGAAGGGAACTAACTTATTGCATCTATTCAAATATAACACAAAATTTTCAATTTTTATGCTATTAAAATACTGGGGGTCAAAAAAAAGGTATGGGGAAAAAATTCAACTGAATAAAAAACAAAAAAACTCTGCTGATGTCATAGAAAACATTCAATAGTGTTTTAAAAAATTTTACCCAAATTGGGTAAAATTTTAAAAGTCAAATTGGTCAAATAGAAGTTTAGAACAATTTAATTAATTTAATAAAAAACGCCCATAAATAAACAATAGTGCAATTAATTAGCTAATTAATAAATCATCATAAAAATTTTTTGCGACAAAAATAATTCATTAAATTTACATAGGTGATAGATAATGATGTATATATGCTGATCCATACATTTTTCGAAAAGTTATAAGTCAAGGTTCGTTAAAGCCCATACCTGAGTTAGCTCAGGCTAGGGACTGCGCCACTTTATGCATAGTCTGAGTTATCTCAGGTGAAGGACTGAAGGGGTTTTAAGACACATTCCTCCACCTATAAGGTTATGATGACTGAATTTTTTTGACATTGTAAGGCCTTTGCTGGTGGATTTTAAAGACCATTAAATGAGCATCAATACCAACCACTACAATGCAACATGCTTCGGCACAAAAAGGTCGGGGGTCTGCACCACTCTTCCTATGGCCTTGGTCTTGTTTATTTGGATCTTTAAAATAAGTTCTTGACAGAACTCTTTAACTGATGCGAAAGCAGTCACCCAGTGATTCAAGGACCAACCAACATTGTTCTTTGTGGACGATTTATGTCGTCTCTCCAAGCAGTGGGTTCATGTCTGAATGCCTGTGATGACTTTTTAACAAACAAAAGTGCATTCTGGCTTTTTCTTATTTTTCTTTCTTTAATTATGCCATACTGACAGCTATACTGTTACATTTGTCTTAATAAATTTACTTAAACGGGTTTAATTTGATCAATCCTTGTAATAAAATTTCTTTGATCAATTTTATTATGATTATTTTCATTTGTTGCTTACATATGATGATTCAGATGATTTATAAATTCCTTATGGAATTCTTGAGCTTTCCTACAGATATTTGGATGGAAAATGATGGGTTACATTGATTTTAAACAGCCAGACATTTAGAAATACAAATATTAATGAATGATAGTGTTAATCTAGAACAAGGCTTCTTAAACTTTTTTATTCATGACCCCATTTATGATTGTGATTTTTTTCGCGACCCCCCCCAAATAAAATAAAGTTATATACAAATTTGCAAAAACAATAATGGTGTACTACCACAGTTCAATCTTGTGTTACAATGGAACAGAGACAATTGAATACACTGAAAAGCAACAACACTACACTAGTTCACACTACAATGTTGTTGAATTGTTGTCTCGCTGCACCAGAAGTGACACAAAGCGCACTCACAAAACCTATTGCACAAAGCTTGCCATTTTCAAACTCTCACAAATTATTTTCAATATTTTTCATTAAAATCTTGTGACCCCAAGATTTCGCTAAGCGACCCCATTTGGGGTCACAACCTATAGTTTAAGAAGCCCTGATCTAGAATAATAGCAGAATACTGTCAGAGATAATTAGCAAAATAAATGATGCCTATAATCAACAGCATTTCATATACAAGCCTTAAAGTTATTAAAAACAACTTTGATATTGTAAATACATAAAAATATTTACAATAACTCTGTAGATATTTAACAAACTTCCATGTTGTTTTAGTTATTTTCAGATTTTATAGCATATTACATCAATGACATTAGACTTTAATAGAAATTAAAACTAATAACAACAGATGTCAGGAAAAAATCTACAAAAAAATATCTCAGGCTCTAGTTAACAGCCAATAATTTTTAATTAGACTGCACATGCTATAGTTTGAAAGTGTGTGGAATGCTGTAGAGCAGCAGTTCCCAAAGTGTGCGCTGCAGTACCTTAGTTTATAATGTTAGAATTTGTATAATGTACTTGTTAGAATTTGACATAGGTCGCGTTGGGAAAATCTGCATTTAGCAAGGATGCCCAGAATCAGAAAAATTTGGTGGCAATCAGAAAAATTTGGAAAAATCTCTATGGCAGTGGTTCTCAAACTTTTCATTCAAAGCATTCTAGAATCTTTTTCTGCATTTGATATTCTGCTTCTTTCAAAACGGCAATGAAAGATGCTTTACATCTAGACATGTACAACATTTACTCATTAGATAAAACATTAGGAAAAAAGTTTACTGTAAACCATTTTGCAAACGAAAGAATTTCAAAATGGACTATATACAGCGTGTCTAAGAAAGATCTTTATCATTCTAAACACTAATAACAAAAATACTAACAGGTGAAATGAAATTCAGTTTGCTGCAAAAGAATGGAGAAATCTGAGTTTTTTCTGGTATCAATTGCCTGAGGTAGATTGTCAGTTGTGATAAGGATCCATACCTTGGCCTCTGCGATCGCCCGACATAACTCCACTGGATTTCTTTCTTTCTTTTCTTTTCTTTTTTTTTTTTTGTTATGTTAAAGACAGAGTTTATTAAACGCCTGTTTCTGATATCCATTTTAAAGGAAAGGATGCAATTAGCAATCCTCACTGTTACACCGCAAATGTTAGAAAACACTTGTAGGGAAATCAGGTACAGACTCAACATTGTTCGTGCTACTAACGGAGCTCATGTACAACTACATTGAAGGTACTGTAAAAAAACTCTTAGATTTCTTCATTCTTTTACAGCAAACTGCATTTTATTTTACCTGTTAGTATTTTTGTTATTAATGTTTAGAATGATAAAGATCTTTCTCAGACATGCCATCATAGAATAGAAAGAGTCTGGATTGGAAAAATTCTAATGAAAACTAAGTACGAAAGATTGAAGAGGATCTCTGAAGACAGCAACAAGGTTTCAATTTGATTTGTGGCTGTAAAACTGAAAATTTTACATGGTTAGTTCCACTGTCTTTGAAAAAAAAATACACATACTAAATGTTGAAAGAAGTGTGTAATTCAAAATAGAATGGGCATGCAAAGATTACTGGAAAAATTGAAGTGTGGAAGGTTATTGCGATAGGTCTCTGAAAAGTTCATTTTGAATGGTGGATTTTATACCAGTATTATGTCTTCTACACTTGCATAATGTAAATTTTCCGAGGAAAAGAAATTTGAGGGCAAAGTTTTGGTTTGGATTTAAATGGGATCAAAAGGATTGAGTCAAGCCCTAATCAGAAAATCAAAGTTTTGCTAATACCCAGTGATATTTAAATGAATTGATATAACCATGTTTATTTCTTACATTTGGAAGAATTATTCTCAAATAGAATATCTTCTGGCCAGATTGATCAAGTTTTCACTATGCCAAAATCATACTGTTACAAGTAAAACTTACTTTTGTTGGAAAGAAGAGCAATCCTTCAATCATACCAGGAATTAGGCCAAGGATTTTGGTTCAGATCTTCCAATTGGCAGTTATTTTCAAAAAGGGCATGAGGCAAAAAACATTGATCAGCTGATTAATTGCATAAAGCACACTCTGAAAAATGTGAACCAAAGTCTTTGTACGGAACTTGCACTGCACACTCAAAGTCAAATCAGCTGCATTCAACAATGGGGACTTGTAAAATTACAAAAATAAAAGATAATGTACAGCTTTTCATCACCTTTCAAATGATTACATAGTTCATGGAGTTTTCTTTTTTCAGAGGTAAAACTGCATTATACAAACTTGTGAAGATTTTTTCCAGACATCCATTACATAAATTTTAAGAATTTTATTTTTTCAGAGGTAAAACTGCATTATACAAACTTGTGAAGATTTTTTCCAGACATCCATTAGTTAAATTTTAAGAATTTTATTTTTAAAAGTGATAATTAGGTGAAACGAACTGTAATTGAATTGCAAAATGTTTTCATTGTTTAATTTCTAAAGGCCTACACACAGAACAATAAGAAGAAACATCAGCATCATTGCTTATTATGAAATTTCGGTCAATGACATTACTCTTCACATATAAATTCTTTATTTTGACTGCTTCAAAATTAGAATAGATTATTTTTTAAGGCTTTGTTTTCATATGACTCGTATTCTTATAAGTATAGAAGCTCATCAATAAAGCTAATGTTAGACAAGAAGGGATGGCTTCTTCCTAAAGAGAGCCTCACATAAAATACACCCTGGAGCATTAACGAAAAAATTAGACATATGATACAGAATAAGGATTGTTTCGTATGTAAAATCATTTATTATTTTAAGTATAGTAAGTTATAATATACGAAAAATATATAGTAAAATTTATTACCTAAACTATAAATATTAAATATTTTAAATTTCATTTATTACTAGAAAAATATGTTANTTTAACTAAACTTAGATAACTAAACTTAAATCAGTGTTACTCTGTAATTAATCATTTGACTCATAGACTACAAATTAAGAACAAGTATATTTTTATATTTCCTTTATTTATTTCAAACAAATTAGTGTATGTTAAGAGAAGTATTATAATATTTCAATTAAAAAAATAGAAAGGTGGTAAAAATTTGCATTTGCAATCTTGGCAGATGTTAAAAGTGTGCTATCCACAAATAGCCTTAGTAGTTGCATATGTACAGTACTTTGTCATTTGCATTTCTTAGATGGACAGAAAGTACAAATTCTGCATCTGTTTGCCATACTTTTATTCATGTCTTCTGTGGGCTTTTCAATGTTTATTTTGATGGAATGTCTTAACTAAATTAATAATTATAATTTTTAGTAAATTGATAAATAATTTAGAACCTTCTGGAATAAAAAAACTGGCTCAGGGTGGGGTTTGAACCCATAACTTCAGTTTGCCATGCAGTGTGCTTGCCAGTTACGCCATTCAGACCCTGAGCAAGTCTTCGTTTCTAGAAGTATATTAATCATTTAATTAGCCGAATTATAACCCAATCTTTCAAGTCGATTGTTGGTAATTCATATACTCATCAGGCTTAGTGATGTTTATTATTTATATACTCACGTTGGCTGATTATGGTATTAACGCAAACTTCTGCACGTTATCACTAAATGTTCGACTGTTAGATGATGATTACAGCAAATCATGAAAAGTAGCAAGTGTACAACTGTGCTCATTACCTTGGGATAACTCATTTTACTATTTATGAAAGTACTGTGAGTGAGGTGATGTGAGTGCAATGGGAACATCTCAAATTCCCAAAACTGGCAGGGGTGGGCAGTCTATCAGACAAATGTTTGGTTATTTAGGGTTAATTGATTTACTTATTATTTAGTGCATATACATCTAACCCTTAATTTACATGGTACATGAATAGCATGATTTCAGTTTAACACAGTTGAAAAAATGTGAAATGATTTCATTTTATACAATAAAATTTAAGTTTACATGGTATTTTAAAATATTCTTTACTATTTTACTTCAAAATTACATTTCACTGATAAAATCAATTTTTAGGCTTATGCTAACTAATAAGACATTGCAGTCATTTTTCACTACTTTTATCTTACATGTTCAAAAATGGGATTTCCCATTTTGTACTACATCTTGTTACTACATCTTCATTCAACTTAGCTCCATATCAGAAAATCTATCAGTTAAGTAGAAGTAAAAAGAAAACTTTGATAATGGATTTTATTAAGATAAAACTGTAAATATCTTTGGAAAATGAATTTGAAAAAAAACTGGTATTGAAGAAGTTAGTAGTGGAAGGGACATAAGATTTTCAACAAAAAAAGAAGAGAAAAATCACTCTATCAACAAGTTAAGAAAAAACAATAGAGGGGTTGCAGCTGACGTTTTCATCATGACAACGTGTACGTTGGATGTTCACTGTCGCCTTCCTGTAAGCCTAGAAGTTTGACAATGCTGTTTGGAACGTCAGGCATGATTCCACTGACATTCCAAACGCCATTGTCAAACTTCTAGGCTTACAGGAAGGCGACACTGAACGTACGACGTACACATTGTTGCAATGAAAACGTTGGCCACAACCTCTCTAATACTGTTTTAGTTTTTTAAACTTTATATTAGATGCTTATATGTTGATAAGGCTTTTAAAAACTGTTTTACTGTACAAAACTGGTATGTAGTAAATATAAAATTAAAGCATTAAAATGAAAGTTATTCTTCCATTTTCCATATAGATATTTAGTCTTAGTGTATTGTGTAAATCAAGAGTAAGATATATGAGGAATTTGACATATTTTTAACAAATATATTGATTGATGCATCTATATGCTAATGAGTCTGCACAGTTATTAATATTTATCTTAATTTTGCTGTAATTGTATATCAACCTTAAGATGTAATCCTTTAATGTATATTTAAAAAACTGTAAATTATTTTTTAAATTTAATTTTCCACATAGGTAAAGTTTTTATATCTGCTGATTCTGCAGCTGCACCTGAATCTTCAGATTTAAAGGTAAATTAATGATATATATTTTGTTACGATAAATTGTCGTTATTTAAAATTGTAAAGAATTTTTTTTTTTTTTAAATGGTGTTTTTATTCTTTATACTCAGATATATATTTATAATTATCTTCCTAAATTGTTTGAAATGTTCTAATAATAATGATGAGTAGTTAACTTTAATAAGCATAAATTGTTTTAATTGTAATATTTTGTACAATTAATTGACTTAATATATTACCTTAGCTGAATGTAATGAAGAAAATAAAAACCTGAATGTAATTTTTCTATCAAAATTTTTGCGAGATTATTATTGTTACTACATATAACATTACAGTGGGTGATCGGTTAACAAACATAATCCATTCCAAGATTTTGTTTGCTATTTGAATTGTTTGTTAACCGATTATCGATTTACCATATGTTTTTATGGAAATTTGATTAATTTGTTCTGGAGGCCCCAAAAAATAAAAAAAATATACTTTCTTACTACGTTTATTTACATGTAATAGTAAAAATACATATATACACAGTCTTGCATTTTTATTAGTCATGTTTTTTTTTTTTTTTTTGTTTGTGGGGGTTAAAGAATCTGTCTAATGTTGATTGCTTTTCTCTCTTCTTCAAGATTTTTCAGAAGTAATTAATAGCATTGTAATGAGATCTCTAAGACTATTAACCTCAACTTTGTTTGAATGCCATTCTAAGACTGTCATTCTGACATCATCCCACTTCTTGAAAAAATGTTTAATAGCAGATATCAACATTAATTCTCTTTCTCAGAAGAAAACATATTTCACCGAATTTCTTGGTGTTTTTCATTCAAGAGTTATTGGTGTTCTTCTGTCAGATCAGTTTCAGGTTTCATTACAAGCTCTTCAATGTTCTTTATTTCTCAGATGTGATTTTTGTTACTCCTTAAGCTGCTTGAGTCTTCTTGATAATACAGTATCTTTTTTAGATAAGATTTAACTACGGCTTACTGTAGACCTATTCAAGCCATACTGCCCAGCAACAACAGACATCAGATATCTGCCCACTCTTTACCTTTGAAATTATACTCTCACCTTTCGAAAATAAAAACCAACGCGAAACTTAATGAGTGTCTGCCCAACAGTCTTGCGAATACTAGAAAAAATTTTTTGTCAGAAAAATAAAAGGCTGGAATTACAAGGGAGAGTTTCAAAGTTCGGAGGAATACTATCCAATCAGTATATACCAGGTTGAACATCAATGTTGACGTCTCCCACGCTCCAAAATGTTTTGAATTGTTATCTGAAGACAAGAGAAGACCAATTGATATTCATTATTTTAATCACTTCTTGTGTTTGTTCTGTGAGGTGTTTGTTATCCAAACATAAAAATCTTTCGTGAAAGTGTTCATTATCCGATTTGTTTGTTAACTGATCACCCACTGTATTAAGGCAAGGGCTCTTCCATTTTAACAAATATAAGTTAAACAAAACAATCTGTTTAAATTTTAATAATTTTAAACAATGAAACTAGATTACAAAGACAAGATAAATATTAAATTATAATAATAATAATTATATACTAATAATAAAAATAATTTTATAAAAATACAAAAGAAAAATTTATTTGTACAAAAGCTTTTTACTGATATGATAAACCTTCAATTTAACAGACTTTGGTTTAACAGGAGTTTCTATTCAATAGGAAAAATTTAAAACCTTTTTTCCATGAATAGAGCATGCTAAAAACATTGGATTAGAGTCGAGGAGTATAAATTACTCAATGTACATTATAATTTTATTTTATTCATACTTATAACAACATTTTAACTCATCTTGCACATTTTATGTTTTTTATTAACATATGTTTTTAAAACCTCTTAATGCCCACTGATTAATTAATTTAATGTAATTAAGCATAAAAAAATACTTAAAACTGAAAAAAATTAAAGAAATGCTTAATTTTGAAGAAAAGCTTCAAAGTTTAACTTCCTTGGTCTTGCCTTTCTGTGAAATTTGACACTGATGAGTCATTGTTTACACAGCTGGATGACCTTGAGAACATCTGGTGTGGGATTTCCTGGGACATTCTCAGACCTCCCTGGAGGACAAGGGTTTAAAGTAAGGTGAATACTAATAAGAATATAAGAAGAAGAATACTAGCTAGACTTATATTTTTAAAAAATTAAAATTTTTATTGCAATTTCCAACCCCCCGATTTAATTAAACTTATATATAATAAAATATATTAATTAAAAAAATTAAAAAACTATTGGAGGTTGTTTTTGACATCAGAAAGTAGCTTTAAATAACTTTACCGAAGGAAAATCCGTGCACTACAACTTTAGAACGATTAATTAAATTTGATTAAAAAAAATTGCATTAAAAAACAATTAAGCGTTAATCGCGTGTCATTAAAGGTTGATTAAAATCGCAATAAAAATATTTTGCGCGGGTAAAAATTTTTGAAAAAATTTGGAGACTTAAAAAACATTCCAAAAAAAAAAATTCAAAAGTGGCCTTAACTCCCGAGTTTTTCGTAATGCTATGTAAACTTGACAAGTTAACTCGTCAATGGGCGTTAAGGGGTTTTAATTAATTAATTAATTAATTATATTTGATTTAATTGACTTTTGGCACTAGTCGATACTTCTTTCCCCCAATTAGTCTATTAAATTATGGATTTATTGATACCATACTTTAAAAGTTGTGAAGATTAAGTTGCAAAGAATATTCTACGTATTTTGTGATGAAATACTAAATATTAAAAATAAATATCAACAGGATCGTTGTTTTCACTTTTTCACTAAGTTTCATAAAGTTCCACTAATTACTTTATTTATTATGAGTTTCTATTTGCTCCTTAATTTATAGAAACCATTGTAGTAGTTGTTGTAGTTGTAGTTTATTTAGTTGTTTACCAGTTTATATTATATTCACTAGAAACTTGATGAACCAGTTGACATTCCATCAGATGCAGTTTTACCTGGAGTATGTTATACAACTCAACCTTTACCTCAGGATATTAGTAATTATATAGGTGTTTATGTATCCACTGTTGACAATCCTGGACAAATTTGGTTTCAAATTAGAGGAAAAACAACAACCGAAGCTTTGGATGTACTAATGGGAAAGTTAGAGTAAGTTTATTTTAATTATATATAATTGATTATCTACAAATTAAATTATTTTCTTACTATACTTAATAATTGAAAACTTGTTCTATGATATTTGTTTCTAAGGAAAATTGTTTTTTTTTTAAATTTGATTTATCATTTTAATTCTATAGGTGTAGATACAAAACTTTTATTAATATTTTTACTTTTAAGGGTTTTATCTTTTTATTCTTTTCTGCCAAGTGTGATCAATTATCTGAAAGAGTTCTACTTTGATTATTTTAGATAAGTGGCACTCTACTGTAGTTGTAAGATTTAAAGTGAAATGAAGGTTGTTTTTAAAATAAATGATCAAGTCTTTAACAGGTACTGTAAGAAGATTATAGAAATAGTCTGTTTCCTTTGTCTATTAACTTGGTTCCCATATTACTTCCCACTCTTGGGATGTATGTACTAATCTAATTGCACCTCCTGAGCCCCCCTATGCAGATCTTATTGTTTCTTACAAATATAATCTAACATAGTATTAAAAAATTTATTATATAGATTATAACAATAATAACTAAGGCAACTCAGAATCTTTATTTTCAAAAATAATCCTGCTTTAAAAAATAAAAATTTTGCTATATTATGCTTTGACAGAAATTTTCTTCTTTATTCTGCTTAATTAATTTTTTTAATTACATTTGCATTCAGCATACAAATTTTCTTTGCATTTTTATTGGTGTACCTGATTCTCAATACTACTATTACTGTATACGAGGTCTGTTCAAAAAGTATCGGACTATTATTTTTTCTGCGTAAATCAATGAGTGCGGGAGGCCTCTTTTGGTTGAGTTATGGAGGGGACAGTTGTGCACAGCTCTGAATTTATTCCCACCTGCAGGAAGCGTCAGTCGTTGGCAGTCGGCCTATGAGTGAGGACATGTAGTGAGCTCTCGGCGGATTCCACTAAGTTGGAAAATGACTGAACAACGTGAGCAGCGATATTACATCAAATTTTGCCCAAGCGTATACCATTTGCGAGATTCAGCAGGCTTTCAGGGACGATCCTCGAGGCCAAAAGAAGCGCGGCAGGTCCGCAGCAATATCAAGATCATGTTGACAGTTTTTTCGACTCTCGTGGGGTGATGTATTGTGAGTACGCACCACAAGGCCAAACCATCACAAAGGAGTACTACCAGGAGGTCCTTCGTCGTCTTTCTGATGCTGTGCGACGCAAATGATTGTATCTGTGATCGATCAAAACTTGACAGCTCCATCGTGATAACACATCCGCCCATTCTGCGCATCTGATTCGGGCTTTCGTCGCCAAACACAACACTCCTGTGGTTCGTCATGCTCCGTACTCTCCCCACATGGCTTCATGTGACTTTTGGCTATTTCCCAAGCTAAAAATCTGCATAATTGAGAAGTTATACTGTTCATTGCTTGGTTATGATTTGGATCTAGGACTTCAAGCTCTTTCCAGAACTGCCATGCTAGATGTTTGCCATCTTGATAAAGTTTGAGCTTTGAACTCATACCAAGTGGTACCAACAGTTTCTGAATGCCTCCAAGAATTTGCTAAATATTAATTCCTCCAACACTAGATTTGGATCCAGGCTGTGACTCCAGTTTTTTGATCAAGTTACATAAGGCTTCAGCTTTGCCTGCAACTGTGTGTAGCTGTTCTTCAAGTTCGGACTGATAAAATAACTCTCTGAGTTCTTGCAATGCAGCTTCTTTCCATAGCACAGTGGGGCCAAATCCCAAAAAGCTGGCCAAAAGTCAAAAGTGTTATCAATTTGGCTGAAAGTCAGTATTTGAGGGTTTTCGGGATCGCTGATTACGAATCCGAAGTCAAAATTTGAAATAAAAACAAAATGACGGATTTAACACGAAACGACTTTTATAGAAAAAGTACAAAATAAATCCATATATTGTTTAATACGATAAAACATACAATCAATTGATTAAAAGTTCATGCATCATCATCCAAAGAATAATTTGATTCACAATCAGGTGATTCAACTTTGAAATCGCTGGAACTTCCTATACTTGCCGTTTTATTGTTAGTTGCACCATGTATATGGCGCAACTAACAACAAAACTGCTTCTGGAAGCAATGACTGAGTTTTTTCCAGGTAATTCACACGAACTCGAAATAAATGGATCGGATATTAATAATAGGCGTAAAATAATGTCTTCCACTGTTTTCACTAGGGAACTTTTCTTGCAAAATCTTCTCAAAACTTTTTAATGTATTTATTAGTAGACTCTTGAGCGTCTTCAGACATCTGCCGTATCGGCAATACTGATGAATTTATCACTTCTGCACCATGAATCAATATCTTATGTGCCAAAGTTGGTATGCAAAACCATGGATATAACTGCACAAAGTAACGAGCTGTCTGTAAGGCATAATCTTGAAATTCTATGAAATCGATTTCATGGCTACATGAAATTGTCTGCAATAGGACATGGAAAAGCTTAATCAAGCCCTCTTCAACCCCTGTAATAGCAGCAGAAATGCTTGAGTTTTCGAAAAATTGTCGAGCGGTATTCTCATCATTCGAGCTACCGAAACCAGGCTTTGGTTGATCGACTATTAGACCCAATTCTATACAGAAACCCTTCTGTATATTCGTTTTTCAGAATCTCATTTCTTTATTTTCTTTATCACTATGTGCTTTCCACAGTTTGATTTCAAGCTTATATGCTACATGCAAACAATATTCAAAACACTAGACAAATTCAAGAAAAAGAGCAAAACATTCCGCGTCATTAATGTACAAAATTCAGAAAACTATGTTTTACATTGCAAGAACTCGCACCAATGACAGAGTTGCAGCTAGTTGCAGCTAGTTTTAATTTTTTTCATTCAATAATAGTCTACAACATGCGATCGGTCCAGTCGCAGAACTCTACAGAATTTATGAACTTTTCTCTACATGTTTAAAATTTTCTGTTGTAGTCTTCCGTTCATTTTCATACAAATCATTCGTTTACTGTTATCACATGAAGTATTATTATCAATTTTGTGTTACATAATGATATTCTACTTACTTACAGCTGCAAATTACATTTTTTAAATTTAAATTCGATTGATTTTTAGAGATTTGGCACCCTCTTGAATATAGCGTAGAAATCTTTGCTTACTGCATAACACGTGTAGCTCGATTGAGGGTCCCCTTTCAACTAAACTACATTAGCAGGTATAAGTTATAGGGGGCACTAAAGTCTAGAATTCGACCTTCGGACTCTTATCTAACCGAACCCACGACTAGAAATTACCGGAACTTAAACTCTATTTTTCGACTTTTGGCCAGCTTTTTGGGATTTGGTCCCACTGTGCATAGTCTGATTTTCAGTAATCTGTCACTATAGCATCCCACCTTTTATGACAGTACAAAACTGCTTCTTCATCAAGTAATAACTGATACAGATGGCAGTGCCAAATAGTAGTTCTTTGCAGATACAGCTATCTGTAACAAATGCATTCTGTATGCCACCTTTACTAGAGCTGCCTTTATCCCTAAGAAGAAATGTTTAGGGTGCTGCTCTTAGTGTGCACATCTTCAGTGACTAAATGTATAACATGTGCCCAGCATGTCATGTGGAACAATATCATTCACACTGGCAGGAGTTTCAAAGCAGTAGCATTCATATATGGATTGTTGTCTGTCAAAAGTCCCAACAAAATTGTCTTACTCAACTTTCTAAAGTGTAAGAGATGCAAACACTTCTTTGACAATGATATCACTATTGTGCTTCTCTATAATCTGTGATTGCAATAGACAGGATGGTTTTTCACATTGATCAACTTATATAATATCACAGAATGTCATCCTCTTCACACATTTATTCAGTAGTGTCTAAATCAGGGGTGGCCAACAGTTTTGGCCCCAGGCTGGATTGGAAAGAAAACATTTTCCACGGGCCGAACCAGAGGTTGCCCTAGGAAGATTTTGAGGTGGTGCGAGATCTCATTGTGGTGTCACCCCATAGAGACTGAATTGTAGATAGAAATTACAGATACATTTCTCACATTATCATGCTTTATCAACACTATATGCTGTAGTTAAGAGATTTGTAATGGGGGGTTAACTCTAAATGCACTGAGTGTTGACCTTTTTTTTTTTAGGTGTCAGAATTTTTCATTGAGCTACAGTATTTTGAAAGATTGATTGCAGGCTACATAAATTCATTTGATGGGTTGTATGTTGGCCATGCCTGGTCTAAATTTTTGTTTCCCACATTGGAGAGAATTTTGCACAAAATGCTTTCACTAGGCAAGTTTTCACTCTGAGATAGTTTTAAATTAAATTTCATCTACTTTTGAAACCCTTTGTAACAGAAAATGTGCAAGGGTATTCCCACAGAAACCATGTCTTGCCATCTTGAAGGTTTACTACTTTCAGAAGTAGTAAATAGCAAGGTTCTTTGCTTGCTGTTCTTACAATGTTTTGCACCTGCAATATGTGTACTCACAGTTTCTTTTTGTAGTATAAGGCTGAGACGCCACTAGCATAAAAACAGGCATAAAACCCCTCCCCATAAAAGCTTTTAATTATGTGACCATGATATTTTATGCCTGAGTGGGTTGTAAAACCAGCTTAAAAGCAAGTTGAGCAGTGTTCAACTTTCGACGCAAATACGACCGTAAAACAGTACCATCCACCAATCAGAAGTCAGTGAAATCTAGGTCATTGTGACATGGTGCGAAATGGCAGAAAACAAGCTTTTGTGTATGTTCCCTCATGGCTACTCTAGAATAGATCTGGAAAGATTTATCAAAAACATCCAAAAGTATTCATGTATCTATGACAAGAGGTATCTCAATTATAATAATGGATGCCTAAAACACGCAATGTGGATGGCCAAAGGAAAATCCTTCAATTTAGAGGAGTATATAATAAAAAAGCTAAGCTTATAAGTGCTGTATTTTATCTTAATAATACAATAATATAAGTTAATATATGAAAGTAAAGATATCATTTTTACTACATTTGTAATTATAGTACAGAAAAAACTTGTAGAAT